CGAATAATACAAGACCTTTTTGAGCTACGATTAGAAGCATAGATAAAAAGTTGTTCATTAGAATGCAATTTGTGGTAATTCGTACGCTCGGCTAAAGTAAAGACAGCAAAAATTGCGTCTGACAGTAAATGCCGAATTTTCCAAGAGATGGCACTTCAATAAGTTAGATAAGGACATTCCACGTGTTTGAGTGAGACCAGAAGATATTGTAAGAAGTTCATTTAGAGATACCACTGACACTGAAGAGTCTGCTTTATCGACCTTGTACAAATTTGGCCGACCTTTCAGCATCCTCTTAAGATATGTAATATTTCCGTAAATGAAAACTCGTTTTTATGGCAATAATCAATCGAAGATCTGCCCCAAAATTTAAAAAAGCGGTACAACTGTTGATTGATTATTTACGTAAATTTTGACTCGAAAAGGTCAATAATGATTGTCAGGAATATTTGGCAATTCTTAGAATAAGAAACAAAAATTTTATTCTGATCTTTTGTCTCCTTGTCAATCGTTTGTATAGCAGTAATTAATCCGAGACTGAAGATTTATTTTTTATTGTTGAACTGGATTGCATTAAAACTTTCTCGCTTTCACCAAATATATATCTATTTTCTTTTAAATAAAAAGAGTGTACGTAGCAGTTAGTTTAAATATAAAAGACAGACCTTAATTTGTCCAAAATTTTAAAAAGCGATACAGTCGCTGACTAAATTATTATTTCCACTGCGGATTAGATTCGTTGAGATGAATTCTTAACTGGCTGTTCTACTCGTGTCGCTCTACTAATTCTAATATTATTGCATGCAATGTTTGCTTTTTACATCATAATATACAATAGTGATCATTATAATGTAACCGCGTATGAATTAAAGATAAGAATGCCAATAGTGCGGCATCTTATTAAATTTAGTTTTACATTTAATGACCGCTGGTATAATTAGAGATGAGTTGAGAACTGAGTTAATCATGCGCGCGCACGCCAGCACGCACGCACGCACGCACGCACGCACGCACGCACGCACGCACGCACGCACGCACGCACGCACGCCCGCACGCACGCACGCACGCACGCACGCACGCACGCACTCGCTATATACATATGTGCAGCATGCACGTATGTGCTCGCACACATACGATATGCAAATCCGACCGAACAATTTTGGTGCAAAATGAATAGATTTCTAGGATTTTGTTCTGACCGTGACGAAGAGGAATGGAACAAAAAAAATATTTGATCCTTATCAAGATCATATAAATTGTCATCATTTGCATTTGATTATTATCTAATTACCTTCACGTGCATCACGTGAAGATCATATAAATTGTCATCATTT